ATAGGTAAAAGTAAATTTAAACAATTTTAAACTAGTAATTGATATTTGAAAATTAAAAAGTATCAGATTAGTATGAAGTTAGGAATAGTCATGTTAGACGATTTGACATTTACCTACAATAACAAGGTATGTATTTTGATAAAAAATTCCCTAAATACAGGATAATAACATGACTTTATTGTAAAGAAACACGAAAAAAATGTCTTATGATATGTATGGAAAAAAAAAGAAATCGAGTTAAATTATAAAGGTGATTCATGCCCTTATATTATTCCCTTATGAAAATAGATGATGCTATTCAAGGCATAAGAGAGAAATGAAAACCGTTTCGCAAGTTACAAATGTCATTTATTATTTCAAACTGTCTCCAATCGCTCCAAGTTGGAAGAATATACAGTGTGTGCGATAAAGTTGGATCCATATGGGATTTTTTTTTTTAATATTACGATTGAGACAAAAAAAAACGTCGTAGGGCAATCAAATACAACAATTTTGTGAAATATTTGATTGGAAGTACCTACCTACAAAAGAATGATGGTGAATCATTTTTTAACCATAGACAATTTTATAAATAAGTCAAAATTAGAAAAAATCTTGTTTGTAACTGGTTGCATAAATAGCTATTAATTAATATAATTAAAGATATTGTATAATATAAACACAATAGGATGTAGTGTATTTACTGTTTTGCAATTTTTTATATAAATCTATGGTGATGAAATAAATACCCATCCCGAGATACGCCCCTGCACAACAATGATAATTATTTCCAGGTTTGTAGAGATACTAATCTCGTGATAGGATGGCAGGTACCTGTTCAGCAACTTACCAGAAACGTGACTGATTCAAGATTGAAGCAAGTTTCTAGTAATGAAATGAGAGGTGTGTTGTGTAGCGGCGTCACAAAACAATGGCTAGTGCTGAATATAGTGGTAGAGGTCACGTTTTATCTCCTCGTTTCAGATTGTCTTGAATTCTATGAATGTACACCTATTTCTAATTGTACTTTTAAATTAACTCTTATGTCATCTTGATATTAAAAACAATTATGTACCTACTTAGAGAAACAATTTTTTTGTTCTTCTCCATTTTCCTCCTTATACTCTTCACACAATAGTCTGTGAAGAGTATTATGCATTCGCTTCGTCCGTCCGTCCGATGTCACGTTTTTTGTCGGCACGATAATTTAAAAACGGAAAACGATATCAATTTGAAAAATTCAGGAAAAATCAAGCTCTATGAGGGGACGAAGCCTACTGATTTTGAAAAAATTTGAATAAAAATGGGGGGTCAAGGGGGGTTTAAACATTAACAAAATTCTTAACTCTAAAACGAAAAATGATATCAACTTGAAATTTTTAGCAAAAATTCATCTCTATAAAAGGAAGAAGCTCTCTGATTTTGAAAAAAGCTGACTAATAATGTGGGGGTTAAGGGGGGTTGAAATTAAAACATCTAAAATCAAAAACAGAAAGCGATATCAACATGAAATTTTTACTAAAAATCAAGCTCTGTAAGGGAATGAAGCTAATTGATTCTGAAAAAAATCTGAATCAAAATTGGGGGATAAGAGGGAATTGAAATATTGAAAAAAATCCAAACTTAGAAATGAAAAACGATATCAAATTGAAATCTTCAGGAAAAGGGGATGAAGCGTATTGATTCTGAATTTTTTTTATTGAAGATGGGTGTCAAGGGGGGTTTGTTAATCTGTGAAGAGTATAATATAGAATGCCGCCAAGCATTATATATCTGGATTCTAGTTTTTCTTTTGGTGCGAATAGTAAATACAAAATCTAAGGGAAAATCACGAAAAACTCATACCATAGCCAAGATATAACAGTTTGGTATTGTGTTAGGCTTGGGACAATATTAATGGGCCATACTTTTGTTAAAATGTATTTGTGGTTACAACTGGAAGACATGGTATATTTGGTTTCAACAGGATGGAGCAACCTGTTCCTCTCGGAATACGTCACTTTCAAGAAATAGTAACTACTGGTAACTAGAATTGGCCACTGAGATCGTGCGATTTGACTTGATTCTTTTCAATTATCGATCTGAAGAATCACGTGTTCTTAGACGTTATTCAAAATTAAACAAAAATATTATTACCTAATCACTTTAGAAATATAGGGATGCATGTTTCATAATTGGGGATTATTTATTTTCATATTTCCAAAATAACATTTCAGTTTTTCGGATCTGAACCGATTTTTCCACTTAACTTTTTTTTCAAAAGAATTATTTTCTGCTAAAGAAGCAGAGAGGGTATTATTTTTCACATATAATTGTACACCTCGGATAAAAGAGGCGTCGCCGAGTTCCTCCACCTACCGTATGAAATGGAAAGGAATTAAATGAAAAGTACAAACTTGGTGGTAGAAGAATAATAGTAGGCTTGTTTTGGTTCTTTCGGAAACTAGTTCAGAATCAGTGAATTACACTCGATCAGCTAAGATAAGAGGTTGTTATAACCTCGCGACGTGTTCTAAAAAAATTAATTCGTCCACTGTATTTGAGAACTGAAATTGACGATTCTATTTGAACCAAAATAAACCCATTAAGAAATATACAAAATTCTAATTGAATATATTTTTATTTGGTTACAAGTAAAAATTAAAAAAAAAACTTTACTAATTTACCTAACCTGTGCGGCCTGGAGCCGTGCAAATATATTTTTTTTGTCCCCCACCTACCTACCTCCTGACGACGCCTGGTGGATGAACTGGGCTATGGAAATAATCCCTAGAAACACTGTCATTCTAAAATCGTCATCGATTTTTTTCATAAAAGTAGGTATTATAATAAAATGAGAAGATGAAAATGATGAAGTATTTTTTTTCTGTTTTTGTGTTTACAAAAATCATCACAATAAACATCTACACATGTACGCTTATCTTTATATTATTGTTATACTATATAAGCTGATAAGGAAATTAAAAAAAAATACAATGATTAAATCACTCGAATCATATGGTAAGTCCTAAAATTAGCTATGGAAATAAATATAAAATATTTAAATAAAAAAATTATCGAGGAATTGCACAAGATATGAAACTTGGGTTTTTTGTTTTTAGGTCTTCCATATCGTACTTTTCGTTTTTAGGTATTCCATATCGTATGCAAATTAATAATAACGACGCAATGAATTTTTTTAAACACAAATAATTCACAAATTGTCTCAAATCAAAGCTTAGAGATGCTACTTTTACGTCTTACAACTTTGCCAAGTCGAAACAAAAAGTTAACTATCCAATTATTTCTTATCAAAAGTATAGCAATTCATTTCTAATTTTCTTTTCCCTAACAATATTTTTTAATATACCTTGACGTTGTTTTACCCACTCAGCACTCCTATTCACTTCCTTTCCCGTAAAATTGATAATATTAATTGAAAAAATTAATGTAAGAACAACGAATAGTTATTATAAAATATTGTTAGGGAAGGAAAATTATTAAAAATGAATTTGCTGTAATTTGATATTAAATAACTGGATAGTAAACTTTTTGTACGACTTCGCAACAGTGTAAGACGTAAAAGAAGAATTTCTGAGCTTTGATTTGAGACAATTTGCGAAATTATTTTATTGAAAAAAAATTAATCGTGCCGTTGTTATTAATTTGCACAAGATATGAAACTAGGATTTGTTTGTGATACCTACAAAAGTATGTAGGTATGCTTAGTTTTTTCATGAGCGAAAAGAGCCCAAACTAGATAATTAATTATCTGAAGTATCTATTCATGGAAAAACTCATATTGTCTAGGTAGGTACATAATTTTTTATTAATGAAATTTCACTATGCTAGGTATATCGTTTTAGGTATTGCACATACCACCCTAATTCTGGTCTTTGTGTTTGTTATTTACCTTATACTATACAAAATATATGCATGATTTATGTAATTCGTTTAAAAAAGTAGGTAGGTACCATAATAAAAATAATGTTTTTCTACACCCACATGGATATTAGCTTATCTACGCAGAGATTACAAAACGAAAAAGTATGCTATTGCCTTCAACTGAACGAATATATTTCATATCCATTCTAGATAGTGAGAACACTGCAAAAAAATGAAATCCATCGTTCATATTTTGATCAACCGACTACTATTATTTTTAAAATTTTAATAGTGACAATTCTGTCAGACTAATTGTCAGTGTATTTTTTAGTTATTGAGATGAAACATACATTAAAATGGGTTATTCTTGTGTAGAATCGATAAATAATAGCATTTCTGTTTTTAATTCGTCTATAATTATAAATAATTTGTTAATTTAAATAAAACTATATGAAGACAATTTAATTATGAGTATTAAAGCATCAAAAATAAAATAATAGATGGTCCTGTGGTTAGCGTTCTTGTCTTCCACACGGACGACTCGAGTTCGATTCTCGGATGGGGAAAAATGAATTAATTTCATTTATTTTATTTTAAAAATTATTAAAAGTCATAAATTATTTGAAAATTAGTTATTTTGTCTTAATAACCTAAAATATTTTTTTTATTTGTAAATTTTCGTTAGTGGGTCGTAGAAAAAATATACTGTACAACTATAGTGGATTGTCCACATCGCATTCCGCCTGCAGCGTCGTGCTCTTTCGTCTTCGTGCGATATGGACATCATATCCACTCTTGTTGCACAAACTACTATTTTCTATAATACTACAACACAGCGTATGTGCAGCGCGCGCGACATAAAAAGGCGAACCAAATTCTCGCATATTCTGTTTATTTGGTATTTTTGTTCATTTAAAATGTATAATACCTAGTTGGCTTTATAAATGAAAAATAAAATTTGAATATATTTAGAAGTCAGTTTACTCATCAATATATTCGTATATTTAAAGTTAAAAACCATCATCGCATCCTTCTGACATCACAATTTTCAAAAAAAAATCATATCACATAAGTAATTTACAACAATATTTCTCATCGCGTTAAGATGAAATAACTGAAATTCCTCATCTAAAAACAATAATCGAAATGTCTCTTACCTTTGAACTCCTTGACACAGTTCAGTGAAAACAACCAAAAATTGCGAGAAAAGGGAAAACAAGAAACTTAAAATCACGTTTAGTTTATTAAAAGAGTAAAATCACATTGTTCATTTGCTCATTAGCGTTTAAAATTCCGCAGTGTGATCGTATTTGTTGCACTTTTACAGCCAAAAGCAACCTACGATTACGATTTTCGCAGGTTAGTAATCGTTATTGACACCTGCGTCAACCCAACACTGCGAATACACTACTAAAATCTAAAATCTGCGAGACTGCGAGTTCTGCGACCGCTCGACCGCCTGAATCAGCGATGTAAATTCCATCAACATCGAAGTTTGCTTTGCCTCGCGCGTCGCGGTCTCGCGTTTCTCTCTTCTCAATCTCCTCCTGCTACTGCTACACACACACACATTCCTGCTAAGGAGGCGGCGTTGTCGGTTGTTACAAATGTATTTTATTTAGGTATTTTTAAAAATTACGGAAGATAAAATAATATTTGACAAAATGTTTACAAATTATGCACAAAATTTAAAATTCACTGTAAATAATACAATTCTTATGCAATATGAAATTCAAAATAAATTCTTATAACTGCGAAGCTTGGTCAGATGCAACCAGTTTGGAATGTCAATAATTATTAATTATATATTATATAATGTAAAATTTTACAATCAGCTATATTATTCCCATACAGCACACATTATTTCAGAAATGTTTCAGAAATATTTTGAACTTTTCAAAAACATATAACATTTCAAGCACAAGTTTCTGAAATATTTCTGAAATATTTTAGTTAAATATTTAACTGAAAATGTTTCTGAAACATGGTATAAATGTTACAAAACAGGTTATGTTGTAAAAGGCCAACACTTACTGAAGAATTTCTGATTTTGTAAGACGAAGATGTCATATGTCCAGCAGAGACCTATATTTTAAATAATTAGAGGTTTGCGTTTTCGGTTTTTGCAATTTCCTTTTTTTGTTATTTATTCGTAGTGCTGTTGTTATATTGGAAGCTGAATATGTCTTTAGAAATTGGGGTGAATACTACAGAAATACATGCTTGTTTAGGTTAGGTTTATTTACTTTATCTCATTGAGACGAGTGACGCCATTTCGTTTATCAAATTAAAGCCAGTTTTAGTCTTATTTTTATCTAAATATAACCTACATTTGCTGTCCGTGCACCTACTTTTATTTATTAGTTATACAGCTCTGATTGAAAAACGAATCTTCATGTTTTGTTTAGGCATGAGTATTGTTTGTTTTATTATAGTTAATTTAAAACAACATTAATAAAACTATTGTTAATCAAATAATTTGTATCACATCCTTTTTTAAGTACCTATAATTTGTTTCAGATTAGTGCATTTAAAGGAATTGGTGGAAATGAAGGGATTCGCCTTTCCCATACAGACAAACACATTTCGGAAATATTTCAAAAATGTTACATTGAAATATTACGAAACGTTTCTGAAATGTGTCTGAAACGTAAAATTGTCCTGTAAATATAATATTTCTGAAATGAAAATTTGAAATCTTTTAGAAATATTAAATAGTAATATTTCAGAAATATATTCTAGTCTTTTTTTTTTATAAAAATTTTGAAACGTAGAAACGTTTTTAAAATATTAGACTAAAAAAATACATTTAAAAATATACATGTTTATTTAAAATACACAAAACACAAACATTGATTCTTAAACAAACAAACATTATTTCATAAAATATTGATACCTTCTTAAAAATGAAAGAAGGTGATCTATCATAAATGATACGCTGTTTCCGAGTTATCCGGATCCTGTCCTTTCATCATTTTATTTAATTATACCAAAGTGGGATTTTATAATAATATTAGAGTTGCTACGGAGAATTAGATTATACTAGCGGAGCCCCTGTGTTAATAGGTCCAGGACGTAAACAACTGGTGTGGATTAATCATTGAATGGATTTAATTATTATTGAAGAGTTACTTGTTTGATTATTAATTGATTGATTGGTTTGGATTTTAGGTTTGGGCTAGCCTGATGTTTTAAATTAAATATTTTGGATGTATTTCCAACAATAACAATTATGAAATTGTAGGGTGATGAATGGGATTTTATTCTACGTTTTTTAAAGGAAAAATTTAGGTAATATGTCAGCGTGTGGCTTACCCCCACCATCTTGTTTTTTTTTTTAATAGCGTAGGTCGAGGAATAGATCACAGAAAAACTTCTTCCTCTACAGTACGCTAAACGCTGATGTCACATAAATTTTATGATCTCTAAAAAATGCTTGTATACAATACAATAATTAAATACAAGTTCATCCATTTAAAAAAATCTTTGTTACCAGACTTTTAGCTACCCTATAGAAAGTTTGTGTAGTTTTTTTTTAAAGGTGGCACATTAATGCCGGGGTGTATATACAGGGAGTAAAGGGGTAATGCGGGTAATTACCCCTAGGAAGTTTTAAACTTTTTATAGGTCTAAAAATGTATTATCAGAAATAGTCTTAAATATTACCACTACCACCCAGACTTAAACTCTGGATGCGCTACTGTGTTTTTTTTTGAGAACATTCTACTTTTAAAAGATCCACAAGACCATAAGCAGTAAGAAAACCAAGATTGTTTGAAACAATTTACAATCCCTTTCAAATGAGATATTATTCGCTCTTTAACGTTCGCTAATAGCTATTTATGCAACCAGTTACGAAATCCCTTATTTTATGTAACGAGTAAATATTTTAATGAGTTACATAAAACGGCATTTCCTAACGTGTTAATTTTGACTAGATAATAAAATTGTATTTTGGTAAAACATAACTCACATCTAGGCAACCAATATTACTTTCTTGTATTGTTAGGTGCATATGCATCATTTTATTGACAAATCTAGAATAGAATATATCATGGTAATTATTTATTCTCAACGACTTGTAGTGTGTTTATATTACTTATTAAAGTTATTTCCCAACAAACCATAAATTGCCGGGATATTGCTGGCCTTCTACCGTAATTAAAGGGAAAATTAATTCGACGATTAAAAGATAAAAGCCTACTTTTGGCCTTTCGATAGTGGCCCAGCATTATGTTTCTTGATGATGGCCTTATGAAGGGTAAGTAACTGTATTGGGTAAAAGCATGGTAAAAGACAAAACGCTTTTAACTGCCGCAGACCCAACTCCAACTCCGTCCCGAGTTTACAGATTGACGACACGGATGCATGATCGCTTATTAATTGTTACATACTCAACGAGTGGACATGTACTATGAAGCCAGTCTCGCAATGCTGGTATTCACTATTCAGTATTCATTGTAATTTTTTACTTTTACATGTTAATTTAGAATATATATTAATTTAGACATTTTTCTGTATTATTATATACAGCTGAATTAAATAAAATATCTACAATATTCTATATTGAAATGCCTTCTGTTTATAGGTCAAATACTACTGGTCAAAGAGGCACTATCGAATCTCCTGTCTGGTCATGTGCCTAATACATGGCCTTTATTCAGCAGTCGGTATTAATATGGTAAAATGCCAGCAATTTCCCGTTAACTTCCCATCAATAGTCCATTAATTGCCAATATATTTATTTTTAAACATTAAAGGGAAAATGGAGGCCTATTAACTGGATTTAACGGCTAAGTGACTGTTGGCCGTAGTGACCTATATATGCCGGCCTTTTAATTATAAAATTTATTGGGCCTTTTATTACCCTGTACAAAATGTTTGCTGGGTGAGTTTTAGTTTTCAACAAAATGGGTTATTTTATTGTTTTAATTATTTTGTTCTGATTTAGAATGGAAAATAAGGATCAAAACAACATTATTACTAGGTTGTAAGTTTAACCAAATTTTATTTTTATAAGTCAAATATATGATTTTGAAATCAAAAAAGGTCTATTTTTATTTGTTTTCTTTTCGTAACCAGTTTCATAATGTTTAACATTATGCAACTGGTTGAGTAAAGTAGATTATTTTGACACTTGCTGCGATTACAAAAAATGTCACTTTATATGTCAAAATTAGAAAAAAAATATTTTATAAATAAAGTCCAATTTTTCCAATTAAATAATCTGCAATTTTAATATTAATTCATTTCGTTATCCCTAATTGTGAATACCATGTAAATTTTTCGAAATTTAATATATGTTGATAAGATATTCCAATTTCAATCCTATTGGGTTATCATGTCGACAAAAGCTCTTCTTTTAGAGCTTCAGGAGTTCACTGTTCGAGGACAATTCTTATTATTATTAATTTAGGTTTCAGTTCAAAAAATTAATAAGGGAAGGAGACTTTAGTTTAACTGCAGTTTTCAGCTGTCGCTAGGAAAAAATAATATTTATTCCACGTCTCATAAAATCTTTACAAATCGTATTTTTTATGTTTTTGTAAACTCGGCTCTCTCTATTATGAATTATATATAGGTATACAAATATGCAATCATTATTTTCTAAAAACAGTTCAACATAAAACAAACCAATAAACATATTTCAAAATAACGGCTAAAATAAATCTGAAAGTCGTTTATTTGTAAGCATACCATCTGACGTAAATAGACTTCATGAATTTATAATAAAGGAAAAATTTATTGACGTATACCATGCAAACCTTACAAATTACTCTAAGCCGTAAAAAAATAATTATTGGAAAACACTAACAACACGTCAGTCGAAGTTAAGGTTTCATCATTGCGCCTAAGTTATTGAAAATGTTATCAAATAAAATCTGTTTCATATTCGATTTTTACTAGTTTTTGTAAAAATCCTTTACTATAAAATATTTTTAAAAAGCATGTATTTGTACAAAATATTATTTATAGTTCAAAATTTAGGTAAAAGATTCTTTACATACATCAAAAACGCCACAAAGGAGAAATTCTTTTTTTGAAGGGACTTAAAATTATATTTTTAAAAATGTAAACGTTATCCATGTTGATTTAAAAATAGGAAACATCTTAATATGGGTTACATTAGATGTGGAAGTCGGCGCACCTTCTTCATTTTAATAAAATTTGCATTGTTTTCTATAAGATTTGTTTAAACTAAAAGAATAGAAAAGTGTGTAGCATTATTCTATTATGATTACCCTGGATTTACTTCAGGTTCTACACATCAAGATTTTAACAAGGCTAAAGAATAAATTAATCCTGCATAAGTTTGAGTTATTCATCTATTTGTCAACCAGCCTTGGATCTAGGGGGGGGGGGGCAAATTGGGGTATCAGCCCCGGGCGGCAATAAGGTGGCGCCAAATTCATGTTTATAATAAAAAACTTGTTTCACAAGGTACATTCCGAAAGGCACTGCATCCTCTACGATTGCCCGACTTTCTTATTTATTAAAAGATTTGTGTTCGGCGAGTATCGGCTAACGCCGGC